CCCCCCCCCCCCCCCCCCCCCAACCCCCCCCCCCCCCCGCCCCGCCCCCCCCCCCCCCCCGCCCCCCCGCGGAGCGCTGCGCCGCCGAGCACCCTCCGCCGGAACACCCCCCCGCCGAGCGCCGCGCCGCCCCCCGCCACCCCAAGATTGGCCGCCCCTTACCAGGTGCTGCCCCAAGCACGTGCTTGGTTGCCTGGTGCCGGCCCTGCTCATAAGAGATGCTACAGATGATGGACTGGAACCAGTGTTGGCGTTGGAAGTCCTGTGCATTTACTAATACTAGGGTATAACGACCTGCTGTTATAAGGTGTTTGCATTTTTGTTACCTGATAACACAGCGACAGGACAGAAGGTCAAATCCTGACTCCATTCTGTCTGTGGTACTTAAGTGGCCCCCATCATCATAGTATCTGAACACCTCCCTGTCTCTAATGTATTTAGCTTCACAACACCCCTGTAAGGTGGAAATGGGGAACTGAGGCAGAGAGATTTTCAGTGACTTGTCCATGGTCACATAGGAAGCCTTTAGTAGAGCAATGAATTGAACTCAGGCTTCCAGAGTCCTAGGCTAGCACCCTAACCATTAGACAGCTTTCATCCTGATGGGAGCTTTGCCACTGAGTTGAATGGGGCCAAGCTTTCCCCTAAATCTATGAAGCTGAATGACTCGCTCATAAAAAATGCATGAGTTCATTGTATGCAGTGGTTTTCAAAAAGTTAATTTAATTATAATGAAAATTGCTATACTTGAATAAAATCTTTCATGTTTTAAAGAAATATTAGGAAGGGGGTTAAAAATTAATGTATCAACTCTACATAACAAAGGGATTTTTAGGCAGGCAGAATGGAATTACCATTACGTTTGAATTGTATTTCCTATTGGGGTCAATGCCTCTATTCTTGAAAATGTACCATGGAATATTTTTATGATGACAACTTGTCACAGCCTTGGTTTTGCATACTGCACATTTTATCCAAAAGATGGCAGCTCTAGCAACACAGCACACCCTAGCACTATGATGGGGATTTGGTTCAGTATGAACTCAGGGGAAAGCGCACCATGTACTGAATGGCCAAAACCACATCCTGGTGTACTAGTATTTTGCTTGGATATCTCTCATCTTGGAGGGGTTGTGACTGTAGTAGGGCTATCACTGATGAGAGTTAATGGACCTCAGGAGGCTGAACTTATCTTTTTATCTACAGTACAGAAATAAGACTGATAGGGGCATTGCAAGCTTCCCTGAACCACTACCTTGTCAACTGTATCAACCCTACTCTGGAGATCCTTCTTGGAGAAGTGAAAGGATTCTGTGTCCATGCAGTATCTGAAAAATGTGAGCTGGTGCCAGTTATGATGGAGATTTGTTTGTTTCTGAGATGTGGACAGCTGTCCAGTAGGAACTGAACTCAGTTTACACAGGTCACTTATGGTAATTGTTCTTGGTCACTACTGGCTTGAAGGACATATTCCACCATCAGGCTTGCAAGAAATCCTCATGTTCTGAGTAAAACTCGGTGGCAGGATCATGATCTGTGTTTGAACCATTAACCTATGAAGGGCTCAGTATCCCATTACTAGTCCCCCTGAGACACCCAGTACCTCTTGTCTTGTGGGGAGAAGGTTATTTGCATTTCTTTGGAATAGCAATGCAGTTATCATGTTGTTGTGGGTGTCTGCAGCACTATTGTGATGATGATCCTCTATCCAAATAAGATACGTGACCTGTATTTACTTAAACTCATAGTGACAGAAAGAAACCTACACCGTAATGGTGGAGAGAAGAGGTCTGAATCAGGTTGTATTTTGTCCATCTGGGACAAATAATACAGTTATCATAAACAGTTTCTCCCAGAGAGGTTGGCATGAGGCTGGATGGGAGAAGAATGCCCTTTCCAGGAGCTTGCCCTATATTTCCCTTGCACATCTATGTTTATATCTAAGAGACAAGTTTGTTCCCTTAATTTTTAAAAGTCAGGCAAGCAAAGGAAACCTAACCCCCCTGGATGGCAGAGAGAGAGACGAGGAGGAGGGGTCACTTTAAAGGGCCCCAGAGCGCAGACACCAGCCTCTTTTATTCACTGTGACAGCAAAGGGTCACGCTAGAAACTGCAATTGCTGGGACTTGTCAGGTGGCCTCTGATCTCTCTCTCTCTCTTTTTCATTCTCTCTCTTATCATTCTTCCTAGGAACGGACATTCCTACTGACACCTGGTTGGACAGCTGTAGACAGTGCATTGCTGAGGAAGGTAAGGTTGCTCCTGCTGCTGCAGTTGCTGGTCATATTCTTCGTGTTTCTAGGATAGCTTTTTTTTTTTCCCCTGTATCTAGCACATTTTTGGACCTGGAATGTCCTTTGGCATGAATTATTCCTCAGCTGAAATCAATATGACCTCTTCTATCTATGGAAAGGCAAAAGTCTGTAGAAAACCAAATCACCCGAGGCTTCAAAAACTTAAAAATAAAATTAGGATATTTTCATGGTGTGTTGGCTGATATGTTCTTTGCTTTTGCATTTCCTTTTGCTTTTCCTTCAAATGCTTTTGTATTTAACTCATTGGCTGCTAATCAAATAAACTAGCTCATTAAATTTCTGTTGATAGAAAAGTACATGGTTAGGAAAACTTTAAAGAATTATTTTTATAACAAACAACATTTAAAATTATTGGATCTAAAATAATTCTTGTTTTCATGAACAAATGGTGCATGTGTTAAAGTTTATAAAGTTTAAGTATTTCTGAAAATATTTAAAGCCACAGTTATGCTTGCCAAGGTAGTATTATCTAGCCATCTATAAAGTTTGTGAATAGAATATGTAAACACATCCAAAGTTTGGTCTCTTTTTCAGTCTGTAACAATGAAATATATATAAACTACTTTCTGTAGTTTAAATAGGTTGCAAATCGTCATTTGAAACAATCAAGTGTGTCCAAAGTGGCAAATACACCTTAAATTGAACCTGTCTTAAAATGGCAAGCTGCTGTGTGAGTGTTACTATTCCTAGAACTGACTCTGACAGGTTTCAACAGATGCAGCTCTTGGAATGCAGCCGGGGTGGGCAGGGAGAAGGGGAGCAGCTGACCCACCTCTTTGGCAAGGGGACATTTTGGAATCTCAGCTCATTCTGGCATGCAGTGACACTGAGACACTGACGTTTTCGGCACACATGGGCCTCTCTCGCACTGCACACAGTCATCACCCAGCAGGAAAAAAAAAAGCCTGGTTCTTACAGCGGAACTAACCATTCCTTTCTATAATTAAAACGCTGACTTATTATAAGCTGAATGCTTTGGGGAAGTTGAATGTGATGAGATTTTACAAGGAAATATTGGAGAGGCTTATTAAAAAAATCGAGTAAATGATGCCGCTACTTATTTTATCATTACATAGCATTCCTCCATGTTCTGTCCTTGTCTAGGGGGTTAGGATCAGAATTTGAGGAAATTGTGTCAGAATGCAAGAAAATAGTGTATCTTAGGTATAATGCTGTATTTGATTAGTGTCGGTGACTCATTTCATTGATGTATTATTCAAGACCAGGACCTTTCTTTAATGTGTATTTGCTTATATTTTGTAAATGAAATAACTCCTCTGAAGAACACACAGGGCCTTCTCCCACTGAATTCAACAGAAGTTTGGCAACTGACTTCATTGGGAGCAGGAATTTGCCCATAGTTTATATGCATAATTTAAACAATTAATCTAATGTTATTGTATAAAAGTGAGGATTCTCTTCACACACAGAAATGGCTTCTTAAATCTAATACCTGTTGCTAAGTCTGTATCAATCTGTACACATTCTTTTACAAAACAAAGTTGGGCTTTTTTTCAGAAATACCCTCAATATTTGATGCTGAAATTATGTGGGCACCATAATTTCAATTATGGACAGTATGATATAAATATGGGAAAGCTTGTGAAGTAAATTATTATGTAGAAGGGCATTTGTGAATGACATGGAAATAGTATCAGAGGGGTAGCCGTGTTAGTCTGGATCTGTAAAAAGCGACTAAGAGTCCTATGGCACCTTATAGACTAGCAGACGTATTGGAGCATTAGCTTTCGTGGGTGAATACCCACTTCGTCAGACGTCTGAAAGCGCTCAGGCTCAGATCCTCAGTCTAAAAATACAGAAAACCATGACTAAAATACACTTTCCCCCAAAATGTTTCATACTCTTTATTTGTGGAAAACTTTCCCCATTTGTAATTTCCATGTGTCAGATTCTGAACTCATTTACACCACTGTAAATTGTGAATAGCACTTCTGAAAGCAAGACCAGAATCAGATCCTATCCCTTTATTGTGTTTTTGACTAAAACAATTATAGGTCTGGGTCCTGACTTTAAAATATTATTCTATTTTTTAAAGTTTATACTTAGCCAAACTCATTTTACTTCTGAGAAATAGAAACTTCTAAATTTGGATTTAGGGAACTCTTGCAGTTCCACTGAATTTGCATACTAAACTCATTCTTGGGGAAACTTGATTTTTGTGATCTTGTTATAAACAAGAGTTAATTTTAAATGCATTCTTGCTCTATAACTAGAATTCCAGAAGAATCATATTCAGTATTTAGTATTAGCAACCACATTCCAATGCAGTCCAATAAAACACACAATTTTAAGTCTTTAGGTAGTAGTAAGATATGTTACTTTGTGTTCTGTTCTTACAGTGGTTCCATTTATTGATAAAGTTTAAACTCTGTTGGGTCATCAGTCAGGTGTTAAATACTTATAACTGAAATGTAACTCTAAACTTTATCATTGTATTTTTCAGCAAGCTCTTGGCTGTGATATTCCATTGCAGTCATGGCGCCTAAAAAGAAGAATGTCAAAAAGAACAAAGGCGATATCAATGAGATGACTATAATTGTGGAAGATGGCCCCCTAAGTAAACTAAATGGCTTGAATGGCTTCTTAGATGGAGGGAATGGCTTCAGCTGCATCTCAGCTGAGGTTTCTGATTCTTCTTATAGCCCAAATCTCTTGGAAGGGCTAAGCAGAATGAGGCAGGAAAATTTTCTTTGTGACTTGATTATTGGTACCAAAACCAAATCCTTCAATGTTCACAAGGTGGTGATGGCTTCATGCAGCGACTACTTTCATAACATCTTAAAGAAAGATCCATCTACTCAAAGAGTGGATCTCAATGATGTATCCCCATTGGGCCTAGCCACTGTTATCACCTATGCTTACACTGGAAAGCTAACTCTTTCACTCTACACAATAGGTAGTATCATTTCCACAGCAGTCTATCTTCAGATTCACACCCTTGTAAAGATGTGCTCTGATTTTTTGATGCAAGAAATCAATGTGGAGAACTGCATGTATATTGCCAATATTGCAGAGACATATGGACTAAAAAACACCAAGGAAGCAGCACAGAAATTTATTAGAGACAACTTCATGGAGTTTTCAGAAACAGATCAGTTCTTAAAACTTACTTTTGATCAAATCAATGAACTCCTTGCAGATGACGACTTGCAGTTGCCTTCTGAAATTGCTGCATTCCAGATAGCAATAAAATGGCTGGAATTTGACCAAAAAAGAGCAAAGTATGCTGCAGATCTCTTGGGCAACATTCGTTTTGGTACAATCTCTGCTCAAGACTTGGTCAATTATGTTCAAACTGTACCAAGAATGATGCAAGACACAGACTGCCACCGACTTCTAGTGGATGCCATGAACTACCATTTGCTTCCATATAATCAGAATACACTGCAGTCTAGAAGAACAAGGATTCGTGGAGGTTTCAGAGTCCTAGTTACTGTTGGAGGACGCCCAGCCTTAACAGAAAAGTCCCTTAGCAGAGACATCTTATACAGGGATCCTGATAATGGATGGAAGAAACTTACTGAAATGCCTGCTAAAAGTTTTAATCAGTGTGTGACTGTGATGGATGGATTTCTCTATGTGGCTGGTGGTGAAGACCAGAATGATGCCAGGAACCAGGCCAAGCATGCTGTCAGCAATTTCTGCAGGTAAATGATTATTTATAAGGGAAGGAGAGGCAGATTCCACATTGTGCAGGAGTATATCCAAGCTTGAGTACAAAACTTAGCAAAACCAGATAAGATTATTAGCAGGGAAGAAAAAGGATGATATTTAAAATTTTAGCTATTACAAATGTACAACTAAAGTCATGCAAAATATCCATCCATAATCACAAATGTATAAAGACCACCACTCCAAATCAGAAAATCTACCTCAAGCCAAAATTGAATGAATAATGGCTATTTAAATATTAAAACGCAGGAAAATTGTAAATAGCATTAATGTTATAACAGACCAAACAAGGCAAGAATTCTTCAAGTTCAAGAGCTATTGATGCCTTATGGAAAACTTTGAAGAACATTCTTTAGAAATGATTGTGATTCTTTTTTTATTTTCAACATTTTTTCTATATTTCATTTATTTTGGTCTTTATTTCTCACGACATAGGTTTAGAAGCAATATCTTTGTTTCTTAAATGCTATGTTGTTCCCACCCGGGTCAAATACACAAAATGCTGCATAGTTTCTGAAGGACTGCAGTTCCAGTGCATTGTCCCCCTAGGACTGTATGAGTGGCAGTAATGTAGAACACAAGAAGATTTCAACCTAGAGTACTGGGGTCAAATTATTTGTAAGGGAAACTTTCTACTGATTTTAAATGTGTTCTGCCTAAAAATCAATGATACATTATGGGCCCAGAAATGGGAAAACTCATGGATCTCAGTATTTGTATCTAATACACTGTCTAATAATAATATAGAAGCATAAATTGTATGCCTCTCTTTTAGCAGCTTCCCAGCACACCCAGCTGTTACTCTGCTGCTGTTGAGGACAGCCCCCGAGCAGGAATGCCCAAATAACCCCTCCTAGAAGGGTGATCAGTGAGTGGACAGGGAGAACTAATACAGCACTAACTTCCTCTGTTGTTTGGTTGGTCGGTTTAGTCATTTATGCCAATTTGCTAGAGCAAAACATTGCATAGAGGAGATGGTCCCCCAGCTACCCCCCCTTATTTCAGGCCCTGCCTGACCTTTATGTAGCAGAACTCAGCCCACAGATATTTTATGTGGACTGCATGGTGGAAATTAAACAGCGAGCTGGAATAATACCACATAGTCACAGGAGTCAGTGTGACCCAACCTGAATTCTATTCCTAGCTTTGCCATTGACCTTGAGCAAGTCTCTTCGCTTCTCTGTATTAGTATAATTGCTTTCAGAGATATGGATGTAAAATGTCAGACAAGAGCTAACTCTTATTATTTATATTTCCCTCCTAAGAGGTTGTCCCCAGCTCCTTTTTTATGTGAGCTCTACCCACCTGCTGGTCTCCGTACCCTCTGAAGACAGGAACATGTGGGCCTAGCAATTTATCTGCTTCACCTCTTATCCTTCCAAAGAAGTTATAGTCTTCTATTTGTGACCTCAGAATTGATGGAGATGCTTAATGTTTTGAACAGAGAATGTCACTTCCAGCAGGCTCTGACCTGTGGAACCAGTTGAGATGTTAAAAAACAAAGATCCTAGTTTCATGTAAATCTTATTTAAAATGAATAGCAATGAAAGGAAAATACCTAAAATATCATACATATTAATATGCAGAATCAATAATAAATGAAATGTTATTCAGAGATTTTTCATAATGTGAAAGCAGCCCTCAGAAACTGAAGCTCTTCCTTGTTTTCTCCTGTAATGGAAAATTAAGTACAACATCATGAGTATAAAACAGATTATCAGCCTTAGCTTTGAAATACCTTTGCTTTTTCTCATCTGCATCATGAGCCTAGGGTTATACATACCCCCCGTTTCTCTGTGCCTGAGCATGTGGCATGACCACTGATATCCAGAGGATTTGCATTGCAGATCAAAGGCAGTTTATGACCTTCAGTGTTAGGTGTGTTTTAGTGAATTCATCAGATCCTTGATAATTTTTAAACACTTGTTTGCATCTTTGTATAATGACTTGATCCTGAAAATTCTTACTGATACTAACAGTCCCAATGAAATTAATGAAACTTTCTCTGAGCAAGGATTTTTTGCATTAATAAGTAGTTGCCAAGTTGGCCCTCAATATTTAAAATGCATCTTTTTACTGACAACAAATATACTGTTTAAAATGCTTGTATAGTGCTTTGAAGATAGAAATACTTACAAAGTGCCATATAAATTCTTAATTATTACTACCAAAAGGCCCAATACTGCACACATTGGGGTGTTTGGCAAGATTCCTATTAACTTCAATGGCAGCAATACTGGGCTTTAAAAGAGCATATGACCAGGTACAGTACAGAATATATTATATGAGAACAAATTTAATAAATACATCATTGTATTTATTATAAAGGAGCCATTATGTCACTTTTAAAGACTGGTCATGCAAAATCTTGAGATGCATATTACAAGACACATTTGAAATTAAATTACAAAAAAATAGAAAAAATTGTATTTGAAATTAGATAGTGTACAGGCACAATAGTCACTTTCCGAGGTTCTTAGGAGGTTGTGTTTTTTTAAATCAAATTACTGAAGGTAATTAGATCAAATTATGTGCTAAATACATGCCAGATTTTATTGACAAAACTATTTTTGAATTACAAAGATACATTTCTCACCTGTTAAAGAATGAAACCTATTTTTACCAAACTTTAGCAAGAACTCTACCTTTCAGTTCAAGTGAATTGTAATAGCCAGACAATAAAAATTAAACAGTGATTTAGAAGCCCCACAGTTTTAACTATAGAGTGGCAGATGCGACGTTGTAGGCCTTCCCATAGAAATATTTGAGTATTTTGATTGCATCAGTTATTCTCTGTTCTTAATGTTTGCAGATATGATCCTCGTTTCAACACATGGATTCACCTGGCCAACATGAATCAGAAGCGCACCCATTTTAGCCTGAATGTATTCAATGGCCTCCTTTTTGCAGTGGGTGGTCGCAACTCTGAAGGGTGTCTATCCTCAGTTGAATGCTATGTGCCTGCAGTTAACCAGTGGCAAATGAAGGCACCACTGGAGGTAGCAAGGTGCTGTCATGCCAGTGCAGTCATAGATGGTAGAATCCTGGTCACAGGAGGTTACATAAATAATGCTTACTCCCGCTCTGTGTGTATGTATGATCCCAGCAATGATAGCTGGCAGGATAAGTCCACCCTTAGCACTCCAAGAGGATGGCACTGTGCTGTTTCCCTTGGGGAGAGGGTCTATATCATGGGTGGGTCCCAACTGGGGGGTCGGGGTGAAAGGATTGATGTCCTCCCTGTTGAGTGCTACAATCCTTATGCTGGCCAGTGGAGCTATGCTGCTCCCCTGCCAACTGGAGTGAGCACTGCAGGTGCTTCCACTCTTAATGGGAAAATTTACTTGGTGGGTGGCTGGAATGAAATAGAAAAGAAATATAAGAAGTGCATTCAGTGCTATAATCCAGATCTTAATGAATGGACTGAGGAAGATGAGTTGCCTGAAGCCACAGTAGGAGTATCTTGTTGTACTATTGCCATGCCCAATAACAAAACCAGGGAATCCAGGGCTAGCTCAGTATCTTCTGTGCCAGTCAGTATTTAAACATTATAATTAGGTTTCATCAAGAATAAATAAAAAACTTATATTTACACAGCTGTGTAGAGTTAACCCTTTAAGTAGCCTTCTCTGCTTATGTGGGGTGGGAAATTGCCATTGTAAAAATTTTAATTTTACAAAACTGGCCAATTTTCATGATCTTTAAAATACATGGTGTGAAACAACATCTTTAAGATACAGTAAATTTACTTAGTGGGAATATAATGTTGTACCACAGTTAGAACAGGGACTCAGTCCTATCCCTAACTTTGCCACTGACTTGCTGTGTTACTTTTGGCAAATCACTTAACTTCTCTCTTCCACAGTTTCCTCATCTGTAAAATGGGGATAATAATCTACTAATGTTTTTAAAGTGCTTTGAGACCTTGGCAAAAGAAGCACTAGGGAACAGACAAGAATTATTATTAATAAATCTCCATATATTAGTAATATACCATGGCATCATAAACTTGGTCACTTTTGTTCTCTTTATAGATTTTATATATGGCAATAGATATTTAACAATTTATTGCACATATCAAGTATGAAATATATATTTTTCCCTCTATGTAGTGATGTCCACAAACAAGTCTTCAAAACTCTATTTCCCTTACTGCATTGTGATTTACGATGTAGACATTTAATTTTTATAGGTAGGTCTGTGACAGGGATTTCAAGAGCCAAACTGCACAAATACAGAAGCTTATCTGTCCATTATGGGCCAGTCCTGAGGACCTTGCTCAGGGCACCAGGCTCCTCCACCCCCCTCCATACACACAAGGGAGCCTACACCTCCAGAAGGGGAGATTCCACCTCTGTTACATACTCACTGGAAATCACTCCATGGGGACTTTGCAGTGTACAAGGTCAGCAGAGATGGAAGGGGCAGGCCCATCAATAGTCCTGCTTCTACAGGATCCCACCTGCAGAGGAAGAAGAACACACTATAAGTTAATATACCCCAAGACTGTCTTCTGTGCTGTAAAAGAAACCCACCCTAGAGGTGTCCGGAGCAACCATCATATTGAGAATCCCAGGAAGAAGAACTCCCGCTTGGAGCCAGCCGTAGCTGCTGGTGTCAAAAGCAGAGTGGATACAAAAATAATCTTTTCTGCTCAGTCCAACAAATTCCCATTGGAATAAGGACTGAGTAAAGGCCGCAGGATTTGGCCCAAAGCATAGATATAGGTGGGGAATAGTGAGTTGTAAGGTAAAACTCTGGATTGAAATGGAATAGGTTTTCCAGACTATTAATGATGGGATGTTTTGATGCCTCCATTACCAGTCACAGACACAGTATCCCCAAAACTAAGCTTTTCCTGGCCTTACCTTTGTATATCATAGAAGTGTAGGATTGGAAAGGACCTCAACAGGTCATCTAGTCCAGTCCCCTGCACTCAAGGCAGGACTAAGTAATAACTAGATCCTGATACAGCTCCTTGTGCTGCCTTGAACACAGCTCTTTTTATAATGTGACGTTTTATTGCATTTTGCCAAAGACTTAGGGTGAAATCTTGGCCCTGTGGAAGTCAATGGAAGTATTGCCATAGCCTTCAGTGGGGCCTGGATTTCATCCTTACTCTCTAAGAATTGCTATCTTGGTTGCAGCACTGTGCATGGGCAATTAAGCATGCAACTGCTGCTAATTTTCATTGCCAATGGGACATGCACACCCAATTTCCTCTGCAATGTGCCTAGAATTGACATCTAAAGATCTGTTATTAATAAAGATTTATACACCCTTCATCTGGGAGGAAATAAGCAATTAAATGAACTACAATGATTAGGTAAGAACTCACTCAAACTGGAAGAACACACTCTTGTACAGATTCATACAGCCTTCACATACAATTTTCTCTGAATACAATGAACACCTCAAGGGGGCAGTGTCCATTAGAAGGCAAAGTCAACCAGAAAGCAATGTTTACTGATCACCCAAGTGCTTTACCCCTATCACAAAGGGAATCCTTTCAAACTATCTGCAAATGCAGGCATTCTTTGGCCAAGCATTTGCAGCACTCTCATAACCTGAGCATTCTTTGGCAAGTAAAGTTATATATTAAGCATTGGCAATTAACATGATATTGTGTCAGAAATCTGAGTTACATAACAGTGACTCACCCAGTCAATTGGGATTAAACTGATCTTTGCACAGTCCGGTTTTCCATTTGGAATAATATAGTTAAGGATCATGACTACATTTTAAATAATTCCTAATCCCCACATTCTATTTTTGAGTATTGTGCATTATTAGGATATACTGCATTGTACTGACTTACAGTCAGAAGTCTTATTACAGTAGCGTTATCACTGTGTCAGTATTGTATTAATTTAGTTTGGCTAATTTAATTTAAATACAATTACATTTACACTTTATATTGTATAATTTAAATAAATAATAACTCAGATCTATAGTGATTTAATCCAACATAATGTAAAATTGAGTGAGTATAATTTCATTTTAATATAAAAATGCTGTTCTTGCCCCCTTCAATCAGCAGTAACATTATTTGATTATTTTGCTCTTCTCATATAAGATCCTGGACACACATTCCACATGAAACCATTTAAGTGGCCCTTTGTAAAATCTTTTTGTCTGCTACAATAATTCTCTGTAAAGACTACAGTTATCCTTTTGTTAAAAGTGGGTGTTCAGCAACCATGCCAATGCATATAACACAGACATCTATGCACTCATGTTAGAGGTCTGCTAGGTATTTCTAAAACACTCATCATCGTAGTAGTACCTAGGTGGTAAATAACTAAAAATACAAATAAATAATCATTTTGGTGTCAAATTGTGTTTGGGAGAAAATTGTGCCACGTAAAAAAAAAAAAAAAAAAAACAATACAAGGAGTCCTTGTGGCACCTTAGAGACTAACAAATTTATTTGGGCATAAACTTTTGTGGGCTAGAACCCACTTAATCAGATGTATGAAGTAAAAAATACAGGATATTCTTTTAGAATATCAATTCCAAAACTAGATGTACAATAAAATGTAGTCCGTTTTTGCAAAGTTCTCTCATGAGCAGATATCCCCCCCATAAACAAACAATGATCTGCTTTCATTTTGCAAATGAAGTTATTTAGGAACTATGGGCTGAGTGTACTGGAATTACTCTTATGCTACTTGAAGGGTTAACCATTTGGGCCAAATCCTGTTAATCTTGCTCACACAATTTTGAATAAAGTAAACAGGATTTGGCCCGGTAAGGCAAATTCTGTCAGAATATTGTACATAGGTGCCTGACAAAATAATCCATGCCCAGAAGATGGAACACTATCTCAGTTCTTAGTCTGCTTCCACCTCACTCGCATACCCCCCACAAATCCACAAGAAGTGTTCTGAGGCCTGGGTCAAAGGACATTGTACACATGTCCCCAACCCAGCTATGGTCCTTACATTTACCCCACCCTTGCTCAAATTATATGTGCTTCAGGCCAGAATAACCAGTACATGGGTGGGTGTGCAGGGGCAGTTGTTACCAGCATAGGGGTACACTGTACTGCTGCTTTTGCAGAGTGTATATCTACACCTGCTTAGAGTACAACAGCACACTGAACCTGGATTTGACTCTTAGCATGTGAACGTGTAAGGCTGAACTTAATTTAATCTTGATTACACCAAGTATCTATTATTGCTTAAATTGTGACATTTTTATATAATATTCATTAGAACTGTGAAAAATGATTTGTACATTACATGTGGAACAATTTTCTATCATTGTCCTATATAGTATTTTTGAACCCAAAATATTTAATAGTAACAGCTAAGTTGAAACTGGAAACATTGTATATTCCTAAAAGGGATTTTAAAGAATGTAGTTTAGAAAACAGAGTATAGGATAAAATTATTAAGAATAATACAGATGATCTTCCATCTGAATAAATTACAGATTGTTCAATTAACACAACATCAGAATTTGAATTTGCTTTAATACTATAATTACTTTTTTTTTTACTTCTAAAGTAACCAGATGAATTTGAAACTTCTGTCTGCCTATGTACTTACAGAGTTCACATGACTAGTATCTGTGTGCCTCCCAAGAATTTAAAAATAGAAATAATTTTTCTTCACATTCTGTAAATGAAATAGTTTTATAGGTTTATAGTTCGCCTGTTCATTTCTCTTTGGGTGGGTGAGAGGGTGTGCTATGGGCCTGTGTGTGAGAAGAATATACTGTGGGAAAACTAAGTTAGAAAGGTAAGTTTTGCTTTTAAGTTTTGCCAATTGTCATATTATCTCTTCCTGAAGTGAGTTCTATAACCTACATCCAGTTCCCATGAAACTTCTGTTTCCTGCAATTAACACACCTCCCTCAATTAGCTAAGAGTTTCATTGTTATGTTAGATCACAGATGCCAACAGCAGTTATGGTCTCAGAAGGAAGATCAAGCTCTCAGGTAGTAGGACCAGTTCTCAGATAGAGCGCTTTGCATTTTGGGTTGAGACCTTGAACTGGACATCTTATTTATTGGGGAACCAGTGCAGAGAGAGAAGCTCTGGGTGGTGAGTCACAGCAACCTGTATTCCTAAACAGATGGGTTGCTGTATTTTGCAGCAATCTGAGTTCTATCAGGGTGGGTGGCTTTATTCCTAGATATGAGTTGCAATCATCAAACCTGAAGGTTGCCAGTGTATGGAGTGTGGTCCTGACTGTGATCAGACCTGAGTCCTGTGGTCTGATGTCATCCTGAGTTTGGTCAGGTCAGAGTCCAACTTCCAGCCAATCACAGAGAGAAGTGGGCTATTTTGGGATCTACAATAAGGTATCAAAAAGTGCCCTAAATGGAGATTTTAAAATGGCATTTGGCATGGGAAAAAGGAAGTTAAGAATTAAAACTGCTGAATAGGAACATCCTTTAAATCATCTTGAAGACAAGATTAATTAGTAGCCTGATTTTGCAAGCCTAGCTCTGGCAAAACCCTCACTGACTTCAGGAGGCAGTTTTGCCTTAGTCAGGACTGGAGTATTGAGCCCCGGACCAAATTCTGCAACCCAGTGAGAACTCTATGCACGTGAGTAATCTCTTGAATTCAACAGGACTATGCATATAAAGTTATTCGCATGTGTAGGTGTTTGTAGGATCAAGGCCCAATGACAAATTCAAAGAAACACATTGATGCTGGTCACAGAGCAGAGTTCATATCCTGAAAGAGGAAAAGTTCTGAAATGAGTTTTGGGAGAAGAGGGAGAGGGATTAAGGTAAAAGACTGCAGATAAACCAGTGGTGTTCACTTGAAAGTGTGGCATTGTCCACAGTACTGTCCTTGGAAGATCTCAAGGGAATAAAAATAAATGTATGCAATATCAGATAACTTGGATGAAAGCTTCAG